ACAATGGCAATGAATGGGAATATCCATCGCGAGTGGATGTCTATTCGACTCCACGGACTGACACCAATCAACGGACTGTTACCTCTGGTTTTGCCATTACTTACCACAACATCAGACACTTTGTTACCGCAACTGATCTGAAAATAGCCGACAACTGTATACTCAATAAGTGATGAGAAAACCATTGCATAACAAAACCCCAAATAGATGTCAATTGACTTCATATACGATATCTTAGGCAGAGTTGCGTTAGTGTTGGTTACGAGGGTAATGATGGCCAATACAGTGGTGATCCCGAGTCCAACCCTGGCCTGTGTATCCCGTTTGTCCATCCAGAAGGGTAACCACGATATGACCACAACCATGAGGGCCGGGATATACACCTGATTGAGGTAAAAGTCAAGTGAACGCTTCAATACAAACCCATAGATTAAAATTGAAAACGAGTCTGAAAATTGAAATACATTTACTATATTATTAATAAAATAAAATATTATATTAAAATTAAACTCTCATTTAAAAGTATTATAATTGTCTCCATCTATAATAGACTAACCTGTACTGACATTCTTAATGTGTGCCACTTTATAATCCCTTTCAATACGAAAATTATAAAGTGATATCCGGGATGCTAATGTAACTCCGTCAAGCCATTTGTACTGGATCTGTTTACTATTATAGCTGAAACTCTCAAATCTAAGCCGACACAACTGCCTGTCCATTGGAAAGTAGCTCAAATCCATAGGACAATTTGCCACGATTATTAAACTATTAATTAAATTTTAGTGGGTTTTAAAAATATAGATATATTGAGATCTAACCGGGTGCTATAGAATACAAGTCCATCGCTGGTAATCGAGAGAAGAGTGTTTGGGCGAGACCCTGCTGAGTTATGGTGTGTTATCTGTCGACTGTTCGCTATCAAAGTGTCGGGAATCCAGATCTTCTTGATAAAATCTGGTCCTAAGTTTATGGTCTTAACGGTGCCATTGAATTGCAAACGACTATCAGTCCAATACTGCCTCAAATACAAGTCTATCGTGTAATCCTTAAAATAAGTTTTTCATTTCATTTATTATATTATTATTGGCATAATTAGTGACATTAATAAGATTACCATGTCAACATCCGATAGTCCGTAAAT